TCGTTTAATTAGTTTAAGTGGCTTCAACTTAATCATTCCTACTTCTATGACTGTGTTAATATATTTATGAGTTAGAATGAAATTCATAACCAGTACATTTAGAGCAATTTGCGTCTTCCTGTTCCAGCAATTTAGACTGCATCGTATTACTACATTAGTAAAGGTTGGCTGACTCAGAACTCTCTGTGGCGAATTCTCCTAGAACTAGCTAAGACACAGAACAGCTATAAAGGCAACAGCCGTATAGCAAGGAACACGCTTATTCAGTAAGTAATTATAACGTGGGTAAAGTGTGTGCGCAGGGAGCTTAATAATAATCAGCATGGCGGAGAAGGTTGGGCAAACGGAGGCTTCTGATTTGCCACTGGTTGTGTGTTTGTCTGAACAGTGAGTTGTACGGCCGCACCTCCCAATCCTGGCGTGCGTGCATGAGATGAAATTTCCCACAAGTCTTCATTTGGCGCAAAACGGGCTCTAGTTACTGACTGCTAATGTATATTATTGAAGTTTTGCAAGTATCTTTATTTAATTTAATCCCGTGGAAGTTCCCTTTAGAGCTGTAGAATATTGACTTCGTGTTAGATGAAGCTCCGTTTTCCATTCGATGGTGAGTAGATAATTCCAATCATCCATATTGACCGAACATGTTTCTTCTCCAATTAGGGAATCTGTAAATCCTCCTCCCTCATCAGATCAACCTGTCTCAATTGGAACATGGGTACGCAGAAGATTGGCCATTCCTCAATCTGCTCTCCAAGATTCACAAGAGCCTACTGCTTCAGGGTACGACCTCTTGCGTTAATTTCCTTGAATTCATATTATTGATTGTTCGAGTGAAGACAAACAATGCATCCTTGAACGATATCTGCGTTTAGATTGATGGTGGACGACTTTTAGTTCTGGCTAAAGAGGGGAAGTTGGAGTACGGATGGATCCGCGGTAATGGTTTCTGTATTCAATTCCATTTCGCTTGTTCATTTCGCTATGGTTTTTGAGTGGGAGGGGGGGGGGGTGGTTGTTTGGGTGAGAGGGGGTAAATGAGATGCAGTTTCGCTGAACAGAATTTGAGTGGTTGATTTCGTAGAGTGAGTAGAAACTGTTAGTTGTATTTTCACTTTAGATATATTTTGGTAGATGACAATGTAAAGTTGTTTAATCGATGATTCAGAGATGATACTCATTCGGAGAATACAAGTCTCCATTTCAGGTGCAAAGTATTTGTGTATTAGAATGAAAGATTTGTTCAGCCGCTCCATTTCTGTCCATCTCCACTTCCGTCTTAGTTGTGCTGCCAAGAATGCATTTCAGAATGTGGATGTTTGGTGAACTGTTGACACCTCCACATGCAGATACATCTTGAGCAATTTTAAACTTTAGTTAAACGAAGAACATGAGATGGCCTGTGAATCAAGATAGGAGTCTTTATGTTTTATTCATTTTTCGCCAAACCCTTTGCATTTCGCAACTAAATCCGGTTGCACATGACTGGCATTTTGGAAACACCTTTTTAAATTCCCATCACTGGAGATGCGTTTGGCGATGTTCCATCGAATTCTGAATTATAAAATCTTAATGACCACATCCTACTAATGTGATATTATTTATTCTTCGATAGAATTTACCTGTGTATGAGAGAATCCTAGACTATTTATAGATGTAGCACGTTAAGACACAGTGGGTTTTCACAATTCCAATTTCATCGAATTGGTGTAGACGTAATCTGAATAGAACTTGTTTAAGATATACCCAGTTTGAAAGGCAAGTTAGCATGAAGCAACATATTGTGCAAAAAGTGCAGGAGTTGTGGGAAAATGAAAAAGAAACATAGAGAGCTTACAAAGATTGAGACAATGGGAGAGCATATGTGTTGGAAGGACTTCTGAAAGTTCTCTTGTTAACAGATTGTTCCATTTTTCATTGGGGAAGCCGGTAAAATTTCGATTGTGTAGAGAATGAGAGGGGGGAGACAGCCTTATGGTGGAATTACATTCGTCCACCTCAGATACAAAGTAATCCACCAATTCTGGCGATCCTCCGCATTGTTGAATATGGATCAGCGAACATTGACATAATTTTATGCATTCGAAAAATGCTTATTTATCATTGCTACAAAGTCGAGATGGTTCGTAAGTAAAAACATGTGGCCGACAAATTTGATCCACTTGTAGAGCGTTGAGTGCTGAGACGACCAAATTGGTTGCAACTACTGCATGTATCCGGGTTCGTCGGTTGAGTAAATTGCACTCAAAAACGACGTCGGATGTATTTCCATCGGAAGAAGATTTGAAAACATTCTTCCAGAAGTTTGGAACTGTGAAACAGATTTCTATGAAAAACTCGCGCAAAGGATACCTCTTATATTCTAATAAAAAGGAGGCTCAAAGTGCTTTGTCTGGATCAATTCATTCAGTGAGTGACTTCCTCTACGAGGTCTTACCCACCGGAGTAATTCCAGAGATTTTTAGGTAAGATGAAGCATTCACTGTTCGATTGACAACAATACATTTACTGACACTGATTTGAAAATTTAAAGACACTAGTGCCCCTTATTGTGTTTGAAGTTTTCTAAATTTGATTCGTTTATTCGAAAGACGATCAATAATCAACGACAGTTGAATGGATTATGAAATGGAGTAAATGCGTGGTAATTAAGTTTGATCCCTAACGGTCTCGTGTATGCCGTAGAAATGGACGTGGTCTACCTAAGGTGAAATGTCCATTGTTATTGATCTGCAGAATTGATTTAATGAAACACGTACTGAAAAGTTGTTTTACTTTTTCTAGCAACAAGCAGCTTATTTTAACATTTCCCGCTACAAGCTCAAAGATAACATTTGGGTGGTTAATGGTTCTCTCGAAATAAATGAATCAACATAGAATACAATTCCACAATCAATTCATCATCTGTCCTAAATCGCTCCTCCATAAAGAGGCTTCAGTGTAAAGAGTAGATTAGAACCGATTCAATTTTTCACTGAAGATGAAATACCCTGCCAACTTTATGCATGTTATGGGCTCACATTTAGACACAGTGTGTGCTATTAGGCTTATATCTCTGCCTTAATCAGGCAAAGCTCCCTATTAAGTTGGCTTTAGGGGCAAGGCAGGTGGACAATGATTGAAGAGAACAAGTCGATATGCTCGTGGGTCTTGGAAAAGAAGTGAACTCATGAGCCACAGGGAGGGATTTATCTTTACGAGGTACAGCAATGATGGGTTGAGTAGGAGGGAGAAGGTGGGTAGAATAAATCGCAATTTTCTAGGAGCTTGGTTGGGGACAATTGATCGGAAAAATCACAAATGTATATTCTTGATTGATTCTAAATGATAATTGACCTGTGTTCATTGTTTCTGCGTTAGATTTCAATTTCAATCTTAAGTTAAGTACTTACTTTTCTTATTAAAGTTGCCTCGAAATACCCAGGCCATATTTTTGTTCTTGTGAAAATTTGGTTCCGCCTCTCATCGCCTATCTATACTTTGTGTCAGCTTGGCTTCCATGGAAAAATATGCTTTCAATTCTTTACTTGGACATGTTTCAGATTTTAATGGCAATTTTCGAAAATCTCATCACCAAAGCATTAGGAGACGGTTCAATTCTAATAAACTCAAAAACTAGAGTTAAATGTTGTGGTGGAAGTACATGTTGTGCAAGACATTGTCTTAAATAATCGATTGAGCTCTTTGATGAATACGTGAATTCTGCCTTCAGTTCTAACTTTTATGGACAAATTTCTGCATGTCATACCTGCTTCTCAATACGCATATATGAGTGTGTGTGCTTATATGAAGAATCAGTCCACCAATGCACGCCAACGCACATTGGCAGATCGTAAAGTTATTAAAGAGAAGCAATAAATTCATCACAGCATGTCATTTCAATGCGAGCAGGCACGATGCTTCCAATGCGAATTGCAACATGTAGGCTATGAATTTTGGTGTCTCCTCTTGCACTTACGTAAGAACATGTTTGTGAGCATTCACGAAAGTCTCATCGAGTGACTAATGTCAATCATATTTATAAATAGCATCGTGGCTTAAGCGTGCAATGGCACATTATTGTCGGAATATTCTAGAATACCGTAAGTGGCTTCAGTAAGAAATCGATTAATTGGAAATCGTCACACTTCTGCAAACGCGTGAATTAACTGACTCTAATGAGCTTGAAATTTATTTATCTATTTCAAATGGCAGTCGTTTTGATAGTTAGCTCACTTGAATTTCATAGAACGAAGAAGGAATATCAAATTTACAAAAACAGTTGAGAGAATGGGCATAATAATGGTTTAGAGATGTAAAAGAGTCAAACAGACACAAATACAGAGAAAAGGTAAAATGGGTACTTTTGAAGGAGTCATATATGACATACAGTGGGGAGATGGTAGTTTGAAGTCAGAAGCCAACTGCCAGTTATTAGACATTTTGCCGTGCGAGTTTGTAGCGGATTGCTACGCTAGTAAAGCCTGACCGACTCGGAAATCTCTATGGCAGATTCTCCAACATCTAGCTTGACTCCCAGAACAAGCTAAGCTATAGCCCAGCTTATAAAGGAAACAGACGTGTAGCACGTTTATTCAGTATGTGTATTGATAGCAAATTGAGACTTTGGCAAAACGATTAGTTATCAGATAAATCTAGCATAGTTCGCGTGAACATTAATAGGTAAATATCTCTGAGTAGTGTTTTGTTACAGGATTTCTATTGGTCATTGGCTGTGCTTCTCCGCAACCAATCCGTGTGCGAGGTTGCAGGGCGCACCTTAAGCCCAATGTGCACGCGCCTGTGATGAAGTGCCCCACAAGTTTACGTTGCTCGAGATGCACCCCATGGGATGAAAATTAGTGCGCTTAAGATTTTACTACCTTGTAATGTTCATTTAAAGGATTATAAAAAATCACAAATACACACACACACATATATATATATATATATATATTAAAAACCAACAAGGTCATTTTTATACGTCAGTAAAACGATGTACATGGAATGGCAAATGGAACAAATACCATAGATTTATACTCAGGATTTGCGTCACCATGTCTTAATCACAAATGAGTGGAGTTTTTCAACCCTATTTGATTTAATCTAACCCATCTCCAGTTCTTATCAAGGATGTGGAAAAGTGGTTTTGTGTTTTGCGAAGTACCGTTTTCCTTTCAAATATTTATTTATTTATATCAAATGGAAGGCGTTTTGATGATTATCATTAACCCTGGAGCTGACTTCGGGGTTTCATGAAGAGGAGAAAGGACATCAAAGTGACAGAATAATGATTCACAGAGGTAAAAGAGACAGACAGACGGACACAAAGGCATAAAAATGGTAAGATGAGTACTGTGAATGGGTCGAATATGAAAAATAGTCAGGCCATAGAAATTTGAAGTCAGAAGTCAACTCCCGATCAATAGACTTTTTGCCGTATAAGTATACGTTGCCCAGGATGCACCACGTGGAGGTAAGTCTAATATACGTTGCCCAGGATGCACCACGTGGAGGTAAGTCTATTGCGCACCCCCCTTTCAAATATAGAATGAGTATATAATTTGCGGCATCAATAATGACTGAATATAATTTCTCTAAATTTAGAGAATTTGCAAATCGTGCTTCTTAACCAGATCAATCTGACCCAGCTGCAAATTCGATACGTGGAGAAGTGTCCATCACGCATCCATCAATACCGAATTCAACGGAGTCTTCTGTTTCAGGGTAATATCCTCTGGCTTTAATTGATTTGATAAGGCAAATTAATTCTCAAATTAATATCAAGATGATGCAATGTAATTCATTTTGAACACAAGTGTGCTTTCGGTAATTCACTCTAACATTAATGGGATGGTGACTTGTAAATCGTGTGGTCAGCAAATCGTAATAATCA